TTGCAGTATTATATCCTTGTCCTCAGTTTTAATAGCTTGTTAAAATAGTAAAGAACTTGAAGAGTCAATGAAGGTTGATGGCAAAGAGGTTGCATAGTTGCCCTTACTCAAGCATACAGCAGCAAAATTTTGTCTAAATTCCTGATCATGCACCAGCTGAGTATAACATGTATTCTTTAGATGTGCTGGAAATTAGAACATTTCCTTATTTTATTTGATTCCATCCATATTTGCTTCTCCTATGACCTCACCCCACAACACAGGCTAGGCCCTCTGATCTGGTGTAAAATGCAAGAACACACATTGGCTTCAATCTGTTCAGTTCAGAAGCTTTTACTGGAAGTTGAGCTGTGTCCATATCAGCACTGAAAGCTTCATCCATGGAGCCTATCCATCTTTAGTTACCCATGCTGCAGAACAGGAATCTCCACCTGCTGGGTAAAGTGAGGAAGCAGGCAGCAGGGTATGAGATATGGGTATGGATCTCAAAAGTTTTACTGCATTCAAACATGTTATTCTTCTGATAAAATGGGAGCAGATGTTTTCTAGCCCATGCACTGGAATACATGGTGTGAAGAAGAACAGATTTCACTCCAAGAGATTTTCAGGCTTTGCTCAGAAGAGCTGCCCAGAGAATAGAAAAGCCTTCGTAAGAGGAACAGGGCAAATAGCTGAGTGTTTTTATGAGCACTAGACCAGAGAAAAGAACTGGCAGGGAAATTGTCTGCTTACAAAAGCATGTGCATCCGCATTCCTCTGCTGGAAGCAGAAGTACTAAATGGCCTCAATATGCACACAGTCATCTCCACATAGCAAGAGACAGATAGAGGTTAAAAGACTGTGCTCTTCTGTAAAGGGATTTTTACATTGACACAGTGCACACACGGGGTAGTTCGTTTGAATGTAAGAAGGGATGAATGTCACCTTCCAGCATCTTACAGCCAGACAAAAGCCCTCCCCCCACCCCATCCTGATTCAATTTACTCACACTTCTAATGTTGATTAAACTCAGTTAGATGAAGCATTTCTCTTCCAGTCTGGCAGCTATTCCCAAGATACTGTTCAGAAAGGGAAGGTTATGGAGCAAATGACCAGCTTAATGCTTTTGAAATAATTTGCTGGGCCAATGCTTCCCTGGTGTTTTGCAGTTATGAAGCAGAGGTAAAATACATCGAACAAAAAAGACCCTCTACTAGTGCTAGGACAAGTAGCATACAATGGTCTGTTTCTTTAGCTGCCTTTTTAGTCCTGAAAACCAGTAGTTGGGAAACAAAATGTTTATTCTTTTGATCAAACATTAAACAATAAACATTTATTGCATTCCTTTGTGAATCTCATTAGGTTTGTCTCTTCCGAGTTGCAATGGACAATGCATTTTTAGACAGGATGGTAAACACAAAATACAGAGTAACTATGCCATATGGGCTTTATGCAACAGCAAAGTGTATGTGGCAGTGATTTTGTGAAGTTCTTGTGGCTCATTTTCTAAGTAACAGATCTGTTTTGGGGAGTTAGGGATCAATCCAAAGGGACAACCCTGTAAATGGAGCAATTTGGTTTCCAAACTGCAAATTAAGGTCAATAAAATGGAACTGTGGCACCAGGAAATCCCTCTTTGATGAGTATGAGTCATTTCACATGCCCTTTCTTTTCCCAAGCAAATGCACAAAAAGTAGGTTTTTAAACAGAGATGCAGGAACTCCTTATACCAGTTTTAAAAGGATTCCCACTCTAAAATGATTGAAAGACAGATTTTTTTGGCCCTGCTGCATCCATGCAGACTCACCATTACTGGAAAGTAGCCATTCAGCTCAGTATGATATTCATTTAAGGGTAAAATTAATAAAGGCATTTTTTGTTAGCTAAAAATATAATTAGGCCTCACATATTTGCTAAACATAATTTTTACTTTTTGTGTTTCTAAATTTCTGCTTATTGACCTGCGAGGCAGAAGGAGATGACAGAGCTCAGACATGATATTTGCAAGTTGAATGGTTCTACTAACACTTAAACCATATTTCAGTAAACAATGCAGCAAACAGGGACATGGGAATTGGAGGCAAATAATGCAGCAAGTTACAGAATCTCTAGCTGTTTCCATCCTAGACCCATACTGAGTTCTCCAGTAAACCATGGTTGGGATGACTTTTGGGCAAAATGCATGAGAAAACAAAGTGCTATTCGAGTGCTACAAGCCTGTAATTATCTTGGCATTTACTCACCTGCATAACTAAATGTCTCAGGTCTGAACAGAGCAGATTTGGCTCACAAGGAGAAATATAATGAAAACAGTATTAGTGAGTCTGCATATTTTAACAGCTTAGGGAGGTCATTTCATTCTTGTACCAGACTTCCACTACTCTTCAGTACTGGTCAAGAAATTTTATCTGGTTATTCTTATATGAAGCTTAATTTGTCCAGATGGCTACTTTTAAATTGCACATACTTCTGCATGGCAAGAAGGGAAATTAGGGAAGAAAATTAGCCCATAATGTTCTTTTCTATCTGGTTAACAGGCTCCACATGTATTACTAGATTACAGATAATTCTAACACATAATTTATTGGGTTGTACTGTCAATACATCCTGCCACTGTGTCAGAGACAGCAGCCCAAATGACCTACAGACAGCTGATGATGGCAGGATATCTCCAGGGGAGCAGATTCACCTGACAGAGGGTGGGGAAGGAGAAGCAGGAGCTGTTTGAGAAATCAGGATTCATCTGCCGGGCAAAGCTACTAAGAAAATGATGAGAGAAGACAACTAAGGTTGAGAGGTAAGATAAGGCCAGGCTGGACAGCACCAACAGCCCTCCAGAAGAAGAGGTGATAAGGGGCAATGTGCCCCTTGCAGGCAGTTGTCAACTCAGCCACCACAACAGTCACTCCTCAGTCTCTCTACTGATGTCCCTGAGTGTTATTTTGGCCATGCAAATATCCTTTCTTTATCATGCTCCACTGAAACAAACCCAGTTGTTACTCACCTCAAAGTGTTTCAGCTCTGAGTCCAGCTCCTCCTGAGTAGTGTTCTCAGCTCCCAGACACCACCCACGTGCAAAAGCTGCTAAACAAGCCCAGCTGCTGTGGGACCAGCACTGGTGGCACATGCATTGACCTACTTTACAATGATGGGTGGGCACGGTGCAGGGTGCAGAGAGGAGGCACAGGGAGGTGCTGTGGCAGCCTGGCTGCAGCTGTGCAGACTGGCTGTGTCCTTGCAGCTGTGCCATGGTGCTCTCCAACACACTCTGTGTTTTCAGCACACTAAATTTATGCCTGTGCTGTGCAGCTGATTGTACCTCAAGTCTGTTTATGTGTAACAAACAATGTCATATTAGGTGCAGCTAATAATTGCAGGGTCTAAAAAGCTAGAAGGAAAGAAATCTTCTATAACCATACGAGCAATTAATACATCTTTTCCTCTTCCATGTCGGACTATTTTTTTGCACTGCATTACTGAAGATGATATGTAAAAGAGTGCAAGGAACAAGATCCCAAATTTATCCAGTGGCTTTGCACTTTCAGGCTCCTCTCTGAATAGGCAGACAAGGAGAAAGTAATGGGTGATAGATGCAGAGCTAGAGTAGGCAGGGCAAAAAGCAGCAGCAAAGCACTGAAGAAAAAAATCCATCAGAAAGCAAACCTGGGAGTTTGGATCACTTGGAAAGCTGAGGATGGTGGTGGCTCTTTGATCTAGTTCATTTGGTTTCTGGGATGAACTGTTTGATCTTCTGGTCATTAACTGAATCCTGACTTGTCTTGCACAGCATCAAGACTCTGGAGTTAAGCATCCTCACAATATACCCACAGAAACAGACTTTCTGTTTCTAATGAGTAGAAGGCTTTGTATGTCAAGACAATGACTGAAAGGATATCAGACCACAGCAGGGTGTGTGTATACATATAGCCACTAATATTAACTCTTTTTCCATTTTATCCCTGCTATAGGCTGCAACCAACCCAACCATCTGGGTAAATTCAAGATTGTAAATTCTATCAATAGAGTTTGTCTTGTCACAGACAAGAGAGACATTCCTGTCTCTTGCTCCTCAAAAGAGGAGATCATATCTGTCACATTCTGTGGTGTGTCTGTCAAGGAGGTACAGGAAAACAACTTCACACAGATAACACACTCAGACGAGCTTTAATTCACAAGCAATAACATTTAACAGGTTATAGGTTTGGTGTTACCCATCATGGATATTGTTACTCCATGGACAAGAACGATGACCCTAAGTGTGCATGCACTCACACATGCATGAAAGACCTCTCACTGTAGGGTACCCAGAAGTTCAGTGTTCTTCACCCAGAAGGGTCCAAGGACCACTCAAGGCTATCCAATAGAAAATGTCATTCATCCAGGGGGTGGTGGTGATGGTGAGGGCACTAAGTCTCAGGAATTCTGCTTGGGTGGCATCCCAGCCCTGGGGGAAGGGCTTCCCATCACAGATATGCTGCTCCAAGAAAAACCTCACAAAAATATTGGTTTCCAGCAGGGACCCCATTGATAACCTGGTTGAGGAAGGGCTTGTTGACATACACAGTGAAGGTCCAGAAACTTCTCTGGGCTGAGGACTTTAATTGCCTGGGGGCCCTATCTGTCGACAAGAGCCCTAACCTTGTCATTCCCCCACCAAGGCAGGGATGGGGTCATGGTGCACGTGCCACAGCCGTGGGGTGGGGCTGTAAGGTGCAAAAATAGAGGCACGAAAGCCACCACATATCAGCCAGGGGGATGGGGATGGGGTGGGCAGTCCCTGACACAGTGTACTAAACTACCACAGAGGACCAGCTGCAGTGCAATCCCAGAAGCTGTATATCAGTGCTAGCTCAGAAATACAGAAGTCACAGGAGCATCCATGCAGTGTATATTTCTGCCAGTTTCTCTGAAATTAAGGTATACTACTGAGAATTCTCTTTCATCAGTGAAGGCTGACTTTTCACACAAGCTTCTCTCTTTCTGCAGCCTGAGGAGAAGTCGTGGCCGAGTTTGCCAACAGCATGGTTAACAGCAGTGCTCCTTTTCTTCTCCCTACCTTACTGCTCCTGCTGCAGAACATGAGCAACCCTGAAACCTCCATCCCTCCTGCTGGCTATGAGATCCCAGAATCTCCACCCAGAGGACCTGGCTCAAGCAAGATCCACACTCTCGTGGAGTATGGGCTGAGGCCGGGGGAAATTGCAGCAGCCAGCATGGTTTGGGGAGTGCTGTGGCTGCTTTCCATCTTTGGAAACTTCCTCGTTTGCTTAGTGATCCACAGGAGCAGGAGGACACAATCCACTACCAACTATTTTGTGGTCTCCATGGCTTGTGCAGACCTTCTCACCAGTGTTGGGAGCGCACCGTTCCTGCTGCTTCAGTTGGCCTATGGCAGGTGGATGCTGGGGAATGGGATGTGCAAGCTGGTAAGGTACATACAGTACCTCATCCCTGGAGTCCAGATCTATGTGCTCCTTGCCATAGGCGTGGATCGATTTTACACTATTGTCTACCCCCTGAGCTTCAAAGTGTCCAGGGAGAAAGCCAAGAAAATGATTCTGGGCTCTTGGCTCTGTGGTGCTCTGTTGGCATCACCGGCTTGCTTTCTCTACAGCACCAACAGCCAGCACCACTGCAACTTTTTTCTTCCTGATTCTTGGCAAGGAGCTGTCTACAGTATCATTCACCTCTTGGTGGTGTTTTTTATCCCATCCCTGTTCATTATTCTCTTTTACCAGAAAGTTGTTAAGTACATTTGGAGAATAGGCACAGATGGAATGACTGTCAGGAGGACAACAAATATTGTTCCTAGAACAAAAGTGAAAACTATCAAGATGTTCTTAATATTAAACTCAGTGTTTCTCCTGTCCTGGCTCCCTTTCTACATGGTACAGCTGTGGCACCCACGGGAAACAGACTACAGAAAGAGCTCCTTGGTTTTCCTGGTCATCACCTGGATCTCTTTCAGTTCCTCAGCCTCTAAGCCAACCCTCTACTCTGTCTACAATGCAAACTTCAGAAGAGGGATGAAAGAAACTTTTTGCATGTCTGCCATGAAATGCTACAGAAGCAATGCATACACCATCACCACCAGTTCCAGGATAGCAAAAAAAAATCATGTTGGGATTGCAGATATTCCAGCTACAGCCAAAAGTGTCACCAAAGACTCCACATATGATGCATTTAACAGAGAGGCCAAGGAAAGAAAGCTTGCCTGGCCTATTCCATCCAACCCCCCAAATACGTTTGTTTAAGTGGACCTCATTGCTTTGAAAAATTACTATGTACCCCCAGAAGAAGGAGTTTTTGAACCAATGTATAGTTATGTATTTTTAACACAGCTTTTAGGGGAAAGAAAAGAGATGTTCTATTTTATTAAATGCCTTGGGTTTGGTTCATCCTGTCTATTCTGTTTCAGTTATTACATTCTGCTTTGGGGAACTCCTCTCCCAGAATCACGAGCAATGCTTTCCTACAAAGCAGGAGTCCTTAC